TTTCTACTTCAAGCTCTTATATTTCTTGGTGTAAGCTATTTCTAACAATCTGTAGGAGAACACATGGTGGAAGGAGATTGTGGGAGTCCAAGGATGACATGAAATGGGGGCATGATAAGTTTGAAGAAATGACTTTGCAAGATAGGCATCGTGAGGAGGTAACAATTTTGCTTCTATATGCACCAAATGCATGACTTGAATCTCTCTCTATCTCTCTTCAATCTGTTCTTTTCTTTCTACCATATTAGAGGAGAACTTCTAAGGGTCATCCGCGAGGTCGAGGTAAAAGTCGAGGCATGGATCATGGTTATGCTCGAGGGAACAGACCTCGAGCATATAACAAAAATAACACCCAAAACAATGCTCCTAAAGTTGTGAGAGGAAGARGACCTAGACGGTATGAACAATCTATGAACAACAATACCCGATCCTCTCCTTCTCGAGAAAAACAGTGAGTAAATTATAATGATTATATATGAATTTTAATGGATGTTACTTGTTACACCTTTTGTTATCGTTCATAGAGATTTACTCATCTATCTGTCCAATTTGCATATGATATCAGATCTGTAAAGCCTCCTGAGAAAGCGGTACATAATAATGCAGGGAGATCACTTGCACCCCCTCCAAGCGTAGAAGGTGAGCCAGTCTCTGTTAGGAAACATGTCTTGGCATCAAGCCTGAATTCTGCTTCTCCACCTTTCTACCCTTCAGGGTCTGTTAAAAACATCCCTAAAGTGGAGAAAAGAGATGTACAAGCTGGACCTGAAAAGAATGTCTATGATGATAGTCGTTCTATGCCACAATCAAGTGTAATAGTGGATGGAAAGCATGTAGTTGATGCTGTTGCCATGGACAGGCTTTACATTAATGATTCAACCAATCCAACTTTAGGGAATCCTTTGTCTAAGCCATCTTCTGGTTCCTCGGTTGGCAATAATGCTCAGATTCCCCAATCTAGGCCTCAGGGGAGGGGTGCTGTTGTAGGATCAACCAGCTACCCTCCTGCATCACTCCATAGCCAAGTTAACAAGGCCTCCTTGCAGAATCAGTCACTTGGTGTTGCACGGAATCATGGTCAAATTCGGGCCCCGACTGCTGTTCAGGCTCCTGTCCAGCAGTTGGGTCAGCGACCTGGTAGTGGATCTCAATCTTCATCCCCTCCAAAAACATCTATGTCAGTAAACTCATTTGAATCTGGAGAGGTTGAATCTTCTTCGGAATCAAGCAAATTGAAAACTGCTTTGGTTGGAAAGGGAAAAGGTGTGGCCCAAGGTATTGGAGCAGGTTCCTTTATTTATGGTGGGGCTCAGATTATGGGAACCACTGGAAACATGAATATTACTCACGGAGATCAGAACTTTCCTCATACTCCAGCATTTTTGCCTGGTAAAGTTTACATATTAGAACTGTTATCTTTATGGGAAATGGAAAATAATAAAATGTATGGATTTACTCATTGCTTGTGGGATAGGGCTTGTATCTTTCATTAGTTACGAGACTATAATACTTCTTTTAAAATAAATTTGTTTTCAGTTTGAGTATGGTGCCATTCACTATTGAGTTTATGAAGTATGAAAGTAGTTTTGCCTTGTTATTATTTTCTTGATCGATTAAGTATTTGTTGAAATAGATAATGGTTTCCTTTCTTTTTTCTTTTATTTTCCTTTCTAAATTCCTTGTTTTCTCAGTTTCTCTATTATCTATGCTATTAACCTTTCATTGTTAAACATATGTAAAGTTATGCAATTTGGAGGTCAGCATCCTGGTGGTATTGGAGTTCCTGCAGTTGGCATGGCATTTCCAGGATACGTTGCCCAGTCCCAACTTGGCATGGGAAATTCAGAAATGACATGGTATGGATTCATTCTAGTTGTCATTTTCTTTCTTGAGGATGTTATATTACATGTCATAAATGCATCATGTTCTGGATTGGTGATGCTGTTAATCTTGCAATATTTTGGTAATTGATGTTTTTTAACACTGAGATGAAATGTATTAGATTAGCTAATATGTAAATCAAACGTTGTTTGGGGATCATTCTATCTAAAATGATTTGTACTGCCTTGATTCTGCAATTTTTCATTTTATGGATGGGATTGCCGGGTTGGTTTTGTGTAACTTGAATGAACTGAGATAGAATTGGTAAAGAAGTCTGTTTGCTAGGTACCATGAAGTTCCTCCTTATCTTCCATTTATTTTATATTATTTTTCTTTTGAAAAAAATCCATTTCACTACGCCATTGTCCGTTGGAGGTTCTCATTTAAGGAGCTACATATTCTTCAGGTTACCAGTTTTGGCTGGCGCAGCTGGGGCTCTGGGAGCTACATATTGTTCACCTTATATTGCTGTTGATGGTGCTTATCATGCTCGCCCCTCAGGACAGACATCATCTGTGGGAACATTGAGGTTAGTATTGTTACTCGTTTCTGCCACTATTTTATCAAGGTGTGTTTTAGTTTATATTTTGGAATTGTTAAACATTGGCACCGTGGCTGTGTTGTGGGAAAGCTGATGAAGTTTTGACTTTCAATAATGCTCTTTGTTTAGCCTTGTGTTGAGGATTCATAGTTGGTGCCTTTTGAAAATACTGAAGGGCTTCATTTATTTTATCGACCCACTTGGGCATATGTTCATACTTTGCAATACACAAGGTTTTGTTTGGAGCTTCGTTTATGATTTATGTAATCCCTGATTTTTTTTATTTGTACTCTCTGCAGCAAAGAAAATAACACAAACAAATCCAATAACGACTCAAAGCCTTCACAGAATGGTAAGATTTGTCCTCTTTTGCTAGAATATGATTGATTGTGTATGTTTATCATATGGCACAAACATAATTGTGGTTAAAACTGATCTTTCGCCTATGCAGAACATGAAAGTGATGATATTGGACAGCGACAAAATAAGCCACGTAGGTAAGTTCGGATGTCTACGTTCGCTGACTAGTAGAAAAATCTTGATGGATTTTCCTTTGCTCATTAGTAGATATCTAGGTGTAGATCTTGATCCAGATTGATGTAAAACCTTTTCTCCTTTCAGATATTCAGAGATGAACTTTGGTCAATGAAGCAAGCGAGCATAAATGATGGAGCCTATTTCAATAAGCAAAGGTTTTGAATTGATCAACCAAACTTCTATATGTTGCTCATATGCATCATCAAGTTTCTAATTGGTGATATTTGATATTTCTTATTTGCCAGGCCTTCTTCTATGCCCTTTGTGATCTCTAGCTTTGTTCTGGAGCACTTTGGGCTGCTATAGGTTCCAATAAGTATTAGGTAAATCTACTGTTGGATCTTAGAAGATATAGACTGTCGGTCTGGATAATAACCTCTTTTGTATATTCGTCTTGCAGGGATATACGACGAACTCCTCTCCTGCCGTTGATCTGAGAACAGTATTTTCAGCTTGACGTGTGACTTTTCCTTGTTTAAATTGCGGTACGTTGTTTGCTTAAACGCTTAGTTTGAATGGTTGAAATGATATGCAAAACAAGTACAAGTAATTATGTCTGGTTGATGATATTGTGGCAGGTTTTTCTTGTGGTTTGGTTTTTGAATGAAGCAAGTGAGAAAGGGCTTCCCCAAATATGAGAAAAATGAGAAATGATGAAGAAATGTGTTTGGCAGCAGCTAGCTATATAATATGTGCTAATTGTGGAGTTTGATTATTCTCTATTATATATATATATATAAATATATATATAATATGAATATGATATGATAGTGGTTTGGCTAAGAAGTTTATTTGTTTGTCACGTTGCCATTGTGGTTGAGTAATTTTCGCATGTATGATATTTTATGTTATCTCTAATGTGGGATACTGCTGRGTAATGAAATCTCTAGTATTCGATTTTGCGTTACTATAAAGTATAAATAATCAATCATGCTTTATCAGTATGAGCTAAGTGTCGATTTCAAGTCCAATTTTGTGCAGCTTCCAAATAATTTGTTCACTTTTTTTATTTAATTTATTTTTCAATTCAATTTTTAAAATAATTGTTTCGAAATATGGATAGATATTGGAAGGGTATTTTCGTAATTTTTTTGTGTTTTTAAAAAAATGGGGAATTGAAAAAGAATATATGGAGTGCATGTATGTATTGTGGAAGAAGACACGTGGGAGGTAAAGGAGAACAAAACAGAAAAGAAAGAAAAAAAAGGGAATGAAAAAGAAACGAAGGGAAGCGAAGAGGAAAAGCAAAAAAAAACAGAGAATTCTTGTCTATTGGAACCAAAACAGAGGAAAGAGGAAAAAATTGATGGTGATTTTAAAACCGATTTGAGTTTGGGAGCTTGATTTTGATAAGTTTTGGAGTTTTACTATGGGTTTGTTGCTTTGCCTAAGAAATTTCTATGTTTGAACTTGGATTTCTATGTTTTTTTATCACATATTTGGGTGGTAGAATTTGCAGAAAAAAAAAAAAGAAGAAAGAAGAAAAGAAGGGGAAGAAATTTTGTTGTTGTGGTTAAAGGAAGGAGAAGATGAAGGTGGCATGGGGGTCTCACTTGTAAGGAAGATGAGAGAGAAAGAAATGTAATTGGATTGTAGAGAGAGAATTGGGTTATTGATTGAATTTGTGGTTTAATTTAAAAAATTGTAGAGTTTAATTGGAAATTAATTGTGAATTGAAATTTCATTGGTTTGATCAGAAATTGGAGCAGCGTACCAACTGGTACGAAATTCACCTCGTTCATAGGATTTGTGAGTGGTTATTTTACTAAATGTTTCAAGATATCTATTATGGAACTTCAAAGAAATATATATTACGTATGTTTTGATCATTTCTACTGAGAAATTGAGTTCACTTAGAAATGTTTTATGATTTTCTGAGAAACTGTTTGTGTTTTCTGAATATGATTGGAAATAAATATATTTAGAAGTGATTTGAGAAAGAAATGTTCTTAGAAAGAAGAAAAGAGGAATTTTATGACTGTTTATATGAGATTTTGACAATTTTATGCAGTTTCAAACTACCATTTTGTTGTATCCATGTGATTACCCGTATGTTATGGGACCATTTGACTCCACGACTCCACGTGTTGAGAGAATTATTCTGCTGTGTATATTGAGATTAAAGTATTTTTAGAAAATATATGTTGTTACAAGCTATATTTAGAAAATTACTGAATTTTAGTAGCTCAAGTTATACAAAGCTTTACTGAAAAGGCTTATTATTTCAGTTTAAAGAAGTTTGTTATAAGAGTTTAAATTTCAGTTGTTTCTATGAAAAAGTTTTACGAAACTATTTTCTTATTAAAATGTCACTCACTGAGCTTCCTAGCTCACTGTTTATCATTGTTTTTCTCCACCAGGCTGCACCTGAGTTTCAAAGAGATAGCCGACCAGTTTCTGCCACTCATCGTCTCAAAATTTGCATATCATTTTGTATCTAAATTTAGAATGACTTATAATGGAGTAGTTGTACCTTTTGTGGTTGTACAACATGTTTAGAAGTCGTGGCCGAATAGTTATTTCTGAATCGAATTATGTTACACTTTATGTTTTATATATTAAGGAATAATCTAAATTAGTTTTAGAAATTTAGAAAGAAACTTGACTATAGACTCTGTAATAGGTTGGGTTTATGGTCGGTGCAGCTTATTCTAAAACTAATAGGTGTTTTGAGACGGGTTGTGTCAGATATAATGAAATTTTATCCTATGATTATTATCTTTGGACAACGGCTTTAGACATATTACTCTCTGGCCTTGTATGATGTTATTAGAAATTTATGAACAATCCCATTTTCGGAGGAATTTAATTTATTAATGATTAAATTTCAAATTTGTGATCTTAATTAATGATGGCATAAACTTTGTTATTTAGGTTTGATTTTAATCTAATATATTAATGATTAAATTTCAAATTTGTGATCTTAATTAATGATGGCATAAACTTTGTTATTTAGGTTTGATTTTAATCTAATATAATATGAAAATGATATTAATATTTTAAAATATTGTGATCTTTAAATATGGAAAATATTGACCATGATTTTTGTATTTTTGCCATGTCATCGTTATGTTTCCTCATTATTATCATTTAAATAATATTCATCAATTTGTAGGAGTTCTTCAACTTAGATAACTAAAACATTTGAGTAGCAAGAGTCCTATTTTTCAGCCATGGCTGGTCAACGTCAATGAAAGTGGGGATTCACAAATGATTCCAAACTGCTTGTCATTTTCGAGAAAGGATTTTGCTACTCAGCATTTACTGATAGTTTTGGAGAGTCGACGACTACATCCCGACCTGGAAGTTAGCTTCTGACGACTAGCTTCTATCGCTAGCACTTTGACTTGAAAACAAGCTACAGCTACCTTGATTAATGAATGAATGAAAAGAAAGCACTTGTCGAGGAATAAAAAGGGAGGACGAGTTACCTTGAATCAATGAATGAATGAAAAGAAAGCACTTGTCGAGGAATAAAAAGGGAGGACGAGTTCACAAGCAAGGTAGATAGGAACTCCAATATTTTACTTTGAAAAGATAGTTTTCCTTATAAACTTCTTCCTATTCAACCGACGTTCTTGACATTATGTCTTGAAGAGGATTCAAACTTCTTTAGCAATCACTGACTGACGTACCTGAAGTTCTAGATCCTAACGCTCACATCAATAGGAAGATTTGACACCTCAATGTCGGCTCTTTGCCACCTTGGGATTGTAGTATGTTCCAAGGGTGGAGCTGTATTTGTAATTTTTTATTTTATAACATCACTTTTAGTTCAATCTATTTTATGTATACGATGTATGATTCCATTTATGTACTTAAAATTTGTCGGGTAGATTTTTCTATATTGTTGGATTTAATGAATAATATAAACATGTATATACCTAAATTCAAAAACACTAACGAAGATTATGTGATATATATACTCGAGTATGTATGTGAATTCACAGTATATACTACTTAAACTTACCATTCAATATATATCATATATAACGTCAATATAACTAAAACTAGCAAAACACCAAACGTCGGGATCGAGTGAAATTTTTTTAAAATATAGACAATCTTGAAATTAGGATCTCATGACTACTCATGTGTTTATCCCAAAATTTTAATAAAAGGTCGTAATATAGTATCAATCTATTATCTAAATTTTATTTTTCTTATTTTCTGAGATGTAAAATTATATATTAAATTTTAAAAATCTAAGTTCATTGATATATATGGTCAGCCGAATATTGCTAATCAATTTAATCTTTCTTGTGACATAGTTGACTTCAAATACGATTTTAATAATCCTAATTTTGAAACACTTCTTTTAGTATAAGTCATTCTTACTAGTATTGTTAATAATATTCTAGAACCTGATTGATGCGTCAATTTGGAACCTACCAATATACAATGAAGATTTTTTTTTTTTTATTACAACATGTGAGGGTGAGAGATTCAAACTCAAGATCTTTTGGTCGGAGATAGTATCTTAGCCCATCCTGCTCAGGTTGCCAATATACAGTAAGATTTTAGTTAGCTCAGGGAAGTATTCGTTCATAGCTGATGTCCTACGTGTAAGTTTATTTGTTATGAATATTGTCATTCGTAAATTTTTGTAGTTTTCATATTTATTATWGCTTTTTTTTTTTTTTTGAGGTGGAGATCAAGCTTCCTAACCAAGAGAATGAATTAGTATAACCTAACAAATATATTTATGATAGAGGATTTTTTAATAGAATTTAAAACCTTTTTAATAGAATTTGAAAGGTTTTAATAGTGAACAAATGAATAAATAAAAGAAAAAGTAACTTAGAAGATCTAAGTGGGGAGAATCTTAAGGTGAGCTTTTTTTAAAAAAATATGAAATATTTAATTGCAAAAGAAAAGATAAAAAGTAAACAAATTTAAAAGATATATGTACACACACATACATACATATAACATATATACTATTTTGTATGAATTTTGTGGGGTTGATTATGCATTTTGTAAAAAGATTTGCATTTAATTGAATATTTTTTTTAAAAAAATTATATATTATTACTTTTATTTTTAATATTATAAAGAAAAAAATTATTAAAAAATACATTATTTTATATTCTAAATTATAATAATATATATATATATATATATAATGTTATTATAGTATATATATTATATTGCTATATAAAGAATATGAGTATTCTTAGAATTGGGAGTTGGCAAATGAGAGTGCTTTAAACAACCTTACATATTAGAGAAATTATTCAACATAAGTCACTTTTATAATCATAAACATCCTACTAAAAATAAAATATAAAATAGATGAGAAAGATATCTAAAAAAAATTAGTCATATATCCTATTTAGACTATAAACATAACAGTTCCATTGTGATGACAATTTTAAATAATATTCTTTCTTAATTGATGGAATAATATTCAAATGAATTCAATGAATAGATATTCTCAAGAATGTCTTTATCTAGGAAGACAAGTATTTTTCAAATTCCAACTGATTTAGCCTAAATAAATCAAACGCAAGAACGTTTCTTTTAAACAAAAAGTATTTTATATCATTTGCATGTAAATGAATGTTGGTTTGTTTCAAAATGTATAACTCCAACGTCCACATGAGCATAGCTCAATAATAATTGGTACCTACCCCTTTCATTAAGATCAGAGGTCTAAACCATCGAATTCGTAATTTATTGTACTAAAAAAATGTTTAACTCCAATGTAGTCATCCCAATATAATTACATCATTCGATAAATTACATAAAAATTAAAACTCTTTGATATCTTTGTATCTTTTTTCTTATTATTATTATTTGAATTATACCTTTATTATGCTCTCTTTATAAACATGTGCCACTATAATATATTTKGCATTCTTATAATAACATAAAAAATTACTTCTTTTAAGGAAAAATACTATTTGGAAATGGCAACTCTATATCAAAAGATGCAAAAACTGTAAGGGTGAATGGTGAACCACAAAAGTTGAACCTTATAAAAAATTGAAAAAATAAAGAAAAACAAAAAAAACCAACAAAAGTTGAGGCCTTTTTGACTCTTTCAAATGCTTCCTAGTTTGATTTGGGTGGTGAAGCTAAAAAAATCAAGTGGCCAAAAAGCAACAGGCATTTCAATGGGCCAAAATCCCCTCCCACAACCAATTCTTGCCTCAATATTGTTGGAATTTTTGTCAAAACTACATCTCATCCATTTAAAAAAAGGTAAATAAAAACAACCAATTGGTATGGGAAAACCCATAATAGAGACTCTTTTTAGAAAAATCCTCAGCTTTGCCTTTCTTTCTTTTCTTTCTTGATTCAGACCTCCTCACCCAGGAGGAATGGAGATCAAAGAAAAGAACATATTTTCAAATTCCATCTCTCCATTGATGTCATCTTTTCCGATGACTCTCCTCCTGGTTCTTCTTCTCTGTTTCGTTGTTTACGGCCCGACCGCGGTGTTCGCGGTCGGCCCCGCCGCTTCCTTCATTCCCAAAGACAACTTCCTCATTGATTGTGGTGCCAACAAGGAACTGGGCGCCCTCCCTGATGGGAGAGTGTTCAAATCGGATGAGCAATCCAAGCAGTACTTAGAAGCCAAGGATGACATTATAGCGGCCGCCCCACCGGAGACAAAGGCGCCATCCCCGGTCGACTTGACGGCCAGGATCTTCCTCCAAGAAGCTAGTTACAGCTTTCAGATGACAGAGCCCGGATGGCATTGGGTGCGCCTCCATTTCCTCCCTGTTAAAACCGATGCCTTTGATCTCTTGCAGGCCAAGTTTTCAGTAACCACAGAGAAGTATGTGTTGCTTCACAGTTTCAACATCAACAATGCATCCACATATGTTCTCAAGGAGTTTTTGCTCAACATCACTGATCCTAAATTGTCAATCAAGTTCTTTCCAATGAAGAATTCGGCTGCTTTTGTCAACGCCATCGAGGTGGTCTCGGCCCCAGAAGACTTGATTTCTGACTCGAACATTGAGCTATCTCCAGTCGGGAAGATCGAGGGCCTGGCCAAGTATGCATTTCAGACATTGTACAGGGTAAACATGGGAGGACCTGTAATCACTCCAAGAAATGACACTCTTGGGAGGACGTGGGAGACAGATGAAACTTACAGAATACCAAAAGCTGCTGGTAAGAGAGTGGTTGTTGAGAGCAGCAGCATCAAATACCAAGATGGTTTGGAAGAAAAAGGCATGTTAATTGCTCCTCCAAGTGTGTATGCAAGTGCAGTTGAAATGGGAGAGGCTAATGTCAATGTACCAATTTTCAATATCACATGGAAACTTGAGGCAGATCCCTCATTTGGGTATCTAATTCGCTTGCATTTCTGTGACATTGTCAGCAAAGCTCTCAACAGTCTCTACTTCAATGTTTATGTAAACGGGAAGCCAGCAATAATGAACTTGGATTTGTCGCACAAGCTCGGAAGTTTGGCGACTGCATATTACAAGGATGTTGTGGTTAATGCTTCACAGATTACAGAGGGACTGAAAGTTCAAGTTAGTCCGGCTAATGTCGATACGGGCAATGCGAATGCCATTCTAAATGGCTTGGAGGTATTGAAGATAAGCAATTCTGTTAATAGTCTGGATGGAGAGTTTGGAGTGGATGGTAGGTCTGCAAATGGGTCGAATCGTGGCACGGTCGCTGCAGTTGGGTTTGCGATGATGTTCGGGGCATTTGTCGGGCTGGGTGCCATGGTGATGAAATGGCACAAAAGGCCTCAAGATTGGCAGAAGAGGAATAGTTTCTCTTCTTGGTTGCTTCCTGTACATGCTGGTGACACAAGCTTTATGAGCAAGACCTCATATGGATCACACAAAACCAACATTTACTCCTCTACTCTAGGCCTTGGCAGGTTCTTTACTTTGGCAGAGCTTCAAGAGGCCACCAAGAACTTTGATTCCAATTCAATAATTGGTGTTGGTGGGTTTGGAAATGTGTACCTTGGAGTGATTGATGAAGGGACCAAAGTGGCAGTCAAGAGAGGGAACCCACAATCAGAACAAGGCATTACAGAATTCCAAACAGAAATTCAGATGCTTTCCAAGCTCAGACACAGGCACTTGGTTTCTTTAATTGGGTACTGTGATGAAAACTCTGAGATGATCTTGGTGTATGAGTTCATGTCAAATGGGCCATTCAGAGATCACTTGTATGGCAAGGACTTATCTCCAATATCATGGAAACAAAGGCTAGAGATCTGTATCGGAGCGGCTCGAGGTCTTCATTACCTTCACACAGGAACAGCACAGGGAATCATTCACCGTGATGTCAAAACAACCAACATTTTGCTGGACGAAAACTTCACCGCAAAAGTGGCCGATTTCGGGCTGTCGAAGGATGCTCCAATGGGGCAAGGGCATGTGAGTACAGCAGTGAAGGGAAGCTTTGGGTATTTGGATCCAGAGTACTTTAGGAGACAACAGTTGACAGAAAAATCAGATGTTTATTCCTTTGGAGTTGTTCTTCTTGAGGCTCTATGTGCTAGGCCAGCAATCAACCCATCTTTGAC